TGCTGGCAAGCTTTTGGATGATGTTCACTTGTGCTTTTCTTTTCATGGCAGCCTTTTGGAGGCGATAATGGTATGTTAGGGAGCAGTGAAGGGTCACCCTAAGGTAGGTAAGAGTCATGGGTCATGACGCACTTTTTCTCCACAGAAGGTAACACTGAGGGTGTTATGTGCTTTGTGATTGTTAAGATGGAATGCGGAGATGAAGGACTTGGTTGTAGTCTCCATTTATGAAAGTATTCAGCAATTATTGATAAGTCAGAGTTCAGTGTGGCTTCAATATACTGAAAAGATTTTGTTCATGTGGTCAAAGCAATATTGTTGGTGTAGATAAATGTCCACAAGGACATATAGGGTATATCACTTACGTAGATGTTTAAAAGTGTCAGTGCTAGAACACTGCCCTGTGGGAGACAATTGTTAAGTGTTCTTGGAGTGCTGACCTGATCTTGTAGGTAGACCTTCATCCTCCTGTTGCTCATCAAAGTCCACAGCAGCCAGAGTGATTTGGCACATGGCAGCAGCAGGGACAGTTTGAGCATCAGTCCGTGTTTCCACACGGTATCATAGATCTTTCCTCAGCCGATGAAAGTGACCCTGGTCTTAAGTTTATGATAAAAAACAGCCATGATGTTTGTAGTGATGGCAAAACTCACTATACTTAAAGCCAGCATCATAATTTTGAGATGGTGATATCTTGCAAGATAATTTGTCAAATCAGTTCACAAATTTGGTGCATTAGCAGCTTCCTGGCTGCTCATAACTATTAAACAGCAGTTACCAAAATCATGGGTTCCTTTAAAAAAAATGGCTCCCCAACTGACCACCATAGCTACCTTCATGCCACCAGCTTTCACCCTAACCACATTACTGGATCCATCATCTATAGCCAAGCTCTACATTACAACTGCACCTGCTCTAATCCTACCAACTATGATGAAAAACTTAAAGATTTGGAGCAAGGATTCCTACAGTTCCAATACAATCCCAAAACTGTAGCTACTCAAATCAACAAAGCCAGATTCAGATCTTACTCCAACCTACTACAATACCAACCCGTCACCTACAATGCCCATCTTATAGACCTTAGACACAACATTAATAATGTCCAACTCCTGGAAAAGGTGGACTGTCTCATGGTAGTCATGGGAAACAAATCTATCCTGGCTTGCAGACAGACCCCAAAATTCAAATGACATCTCTCAAGCAAGAAGCTAACTGACTCCCATCCTCACCGAGGCACAAGGCCTTGCAATGGATCCAAATACCTGTTATGTCCACACATAAATAACATCAATACAGGCCGCATCATCACACTAAATAACAAGGAATACAACTTCTGAAGTTCATTTACTTGCAACTCTACCAATATCATACATGACATGACCTGCTTACAGTGCCCCTCTGTCGTCTAAATTGCACAAACAGGGCAATTTCTATACATAGGAATGAATGAATACTGATCTGACACCAGTTGCAGAAAGACACGAAGGTCTGTGTCAGAATACTTTATCCTCCTTGGACACTCCTTTATTGAATTTATGATTGCTGTTCTCAAGCAGCAAAATTTTTAAAACTAGTTTGAACAGGAAATCACAGAACAAGAAGTCATTCATAAAATGGATTGTGTTAAGTACGGTTAAACAGGGACTATGGATTCTTATCCGATTACCTAGATTAGTTTATGTGACCCTATGGGTTATGTTCCTATGGGTTTTTTGCTTGTACACCTCTCTCAGCACTGCCCTCCTTCCCTCTCTTCCTTGCCCTCCTCTTTTCCCATCTTTTGTATTCAAATCACTCGCTCCACTTCATACGCTTCTCTATGCTGTACTTTTACAGGACCTGATGAAGTGAACCCAAGTTCACAGAAGCCTGTGCTCTCTCTCTCTAATCTTATTTATTTAGTCTATAAAGATGCATATCTACACTGCCTTCTACAAGTCTTAACTGCTGTCTGCTTATGGAATGGTAATGTAAGAGCGATGATCGAGAAATTATCCTCAGGTCTGAGAAAGAACATCTTGCATGCAAAACCTTGTTTAACTTTATCTTAATGACTAGGGCCATGCAAAATTTCCCTGGCTGTTTTGTTTTGACACTGTTTTGACTCACTGTGAGCTCAAAACAGCAAAATTGAAACAAAATGAAAGACTTCGAAACAGACTTGAAACAAAACAAGGGTGCTTGAAACATTTCAAAAAGTTTCTAAATGTTTCAAGTTTCAAAGCTGAAGCTGGGCTTGCTTGCAGGGAAACAGAAACTAAGGAGAGGGAGGGGGAGGAAGGGGGAAGGACTGCTCTGATATTGACTATATAGCTGGCCAGTGACTGTGATCCTTCCCTGAGGTCCATACCAATCCCAGTGTTCTGGGGGAGGGATAGAAAAACAACATAAAAAGCCCCATTGTTTGAACTGAGCTGCTTTCTGCCTTGGGGTCAGTTACTGAGCTGTGTCTTCCAGCAGCTCAGCAGCATCAGAAAAAGGCTATCATTCATTTCCTACTTGCTAGCCTAGCAAGTGGGATTTAGCAACACCTTTTGCTTTCCATACCCTTTTATTTTATTATTATATTCATTCATTCCTTTCAATTTATTTCTCCCCCAAAATCCTCTTTTTGTTTTTGTTAGTCTATTTTAATTCTTTTCCCCCAGAAAAGAAATCTATGTTTTCTCTCAGTGTGCATTCATTCACTGTACAGGGAAGCACAGCATATATTGCATGTTATAATATAGAATTTATACAGGAACACATACATGCATTTATATATTTTATTTATTACATAAATACACATACATATACAATTATCTACATATATTACATAAATCATATTACTTTACAGAAGACCACACAGATTTTCCAGCACACCAAGGCAGACACTATGAAACACACCATGAAGTGTGTTGGAAAGCATGAACGTTGCATGGCCCCAGGGGGGGGGGGCACGGTGAGCTCCTGCAAGTGGTGGCAGAGCTGTTGGCAGCAGGAGTGTGTCAGTGGCAAGTGGGGAGCTCCTGCAGACAGCTGCAGCACTGTTGTCAGGGGGGGGTGGTGGTGAGCACCTGCAGATGCCAGCCTGTCCCATACCCCCTGATGCTTCCATTTCCATTTCCACTGATGACTTTCTTGCCTACATTGCATGCCAGCCTCTGGCTTCTTTACTATTTCTTCCATCCAGGAACAGCACACACACAAACTGCAGGTGCTTCCTCAGCCTGACAAAGGGTTTTTCAACCCAAAAGCTTGTTAAGCTATATTTCTCCAACTATTCAGCTGGTCTACTAAAAGTTATCAGATTGAACCAAAGAACCTTGTCTGCCAGTGCCATGTCCTTAGACCAACACCCCTAGCACCTGTCCCCAGTCAGCTGACCAGAAGGACACGTGGCCCTGGGCACATCTAAGCCCCAGGGCTGGGGCTGGCAGGTAGAGTTCTCTGGCAGCTGCTGGAGAAGATGCTCCTGCAGGAAAGGAAAGAAAGTCTCTGTTCACAGTATGGCTGCCTGAGATGCTGCTACTGCTACTGTGCTGCTTGCTTACCTGTGGTTATTTAAAGTGATGGACCAGGATGGGGCTGTAGGGGAGGAGGAAACCTCACTGGGGTACACTACTGTGTCATGTAGAGGCCCCAGTGTTAGTGAGGGCATGCCTTAACACACACACAAAGTCACACGTGTCACGAGTTTTGCTTGTCAGCAGCTTGAGTTGCAGGTTCCCAGAAATCCCTGCACCCATCTTCTTGAAACTTGATGGGCTTTGTGCTCTCAGCAGGGGCTACCCTCCCTCCTGTTTTCATTTGAATCAGGCAAGAAATGACAAAGTTATAGGCAGTTTCATGATTCCCCATTATAGCCTATGGGAGAAACGTTGAAAACAGCAAAACAGTTTTGACTAAACAAAATGGAACAGTGCTTTGAAATGAAACTAAGTGTCAAAATGAAACACCGTCCCTTCAAAACGCAAAATGGAAGTCAAAATGAAACAGTGCTGTTTTGCACAACTGTACTAACGACACAGTAGGTCCAATAGAAGATATCACCCTAAGAAATCCTTGCGTCTTCCATCTACTTACAGAAAGCAGAGTTTAGCTTCTGGTCTTCTACTTCTGTTAAATCAGCTTCAGTATAGACCCTTAGACTTGCTGTTCACTGCTGACATTACAGGAAACAATCGCATTATCTAGAACTATGTCTAGAAGTTACAGGTATTGGTCTGCAGGGAGAGGAACAGGACTACATCCATCTATATTTTAATACTTGCATGACTATTCTTATGCCTGCAGTGACCATCTAAGCACAGATATGGACAAATTATACAGATAAAAATCTCTAAAGCTTCCAATTCTGCCTTCACAAGTTATTCCGGTGAAGCATCTGCATTTTAAATAATCAGTTTGTTCCATTTCTATCCCACTCACAAAGCATTCCCACTTAGTTCAGTGAATTTTCTGGGGGGGTTTCTTTTGGACATCCATGCTCTCAGAGGGATAGAGAAACAGTTGGATGATTATTTTGTGGCTGATTGCAGGCAGAAGCAGCACAAAGTATTTATTTAATATGGAAGCAAATTAATCCATTCCAACACCAGTATGAGAATGCTGCTTTTCTTGGGTTGAATACTGCTGTTTTTTTAGACAGAACACAGATTCAGATAACAGCTACTTGAGCATGTAAGTTAGAACTGTTAATAGCATGCAGTGTTTGGTACTAGCTTCTGGGAAGGGCTTTAAAAAGACACAACCCACAGGCAATCATTTTCAGACAAACATGAATTATAATTTCTTGCTAACTACAAGCAATTCATTTTCCGAAGAAGAGAAGTTGCATGCAGTCTACACAGCTGTCTTGCTGCATTGTATTAGGCTTCAGAAACAAGGCCTCAAAGCATCAAAAACTTAAATGCGTCAGAAAAATATTTTCTATTCTTTTTAATCAGTAAAAAACAAACAAACAAACAAACAAACACACACTCTTGCTTCTAAAATGAGTGAGCAAAATGTCTTACTTTTAGAAATGGAATATACTTCTTTCCTCTTGCTTCCTTCAGTGCTACCAGGTATAGGACTGAGAAAAAATTATGTCTTCTTATATGATCACTTTTCTCACATTCTTCCATGGAAAAAAAAGAAAGCAAATTATTTTGATTAAATTAGCTTATCTTACAGGTTTTTAGATCAATGGTTAAATTTACTTTACAGCATATATAAATATATTTTGGATTTAACCTTTGAAACCACCTGGATCAACACTGAAGAGCAAGATCTTAAAAGACTTAAGAAAGTGTGCTTTTGCTTTCAGCAAGAAGGTAATGTATTTCCCTGGTTTTTCCTATGTGCAATATTCTACCCAATTATATCAATTACTGTCTTAGTTGTCCACTCTGTAGAACATAACTGGTTTCCTTAGATTGACTCAGTCTCCTCTGAATGTTGCAGAATGTCTGAAATGCCATGACAGACTCTGATTACATATGTATATCCTTTGAAGCAGTTTGAAACTATTTTCAAATGCTGGATATAGGCAAAGCAGTATAGAGTATGTGACACCAGTGCTTTGCAAATTGCAAAATAATTTCTAAGTTCTGTTCAAGATGCCACTTGCATCAAATTCATCATGATTTAGGACTTATCCTATATCTCATCCTTAGCGCTAAGTTCTTGGCTCAACTTCTTTCCCTCCTGGCTCAGTAGTTCTTTCTTTCTCATTCACGAAAGATCAATGTAAGGCCCACTAAAGTTGAAAGGAGTTTTTTAATCGACTTAATGGGAGCAGGATGAAGCAGGTACCACTTTCCTGAAAGTCCTATTCTTTGCATCTATGGGCCTATCTATATCATGGCAGCATGTCCTAGAAAGAATGGGGCCAAGCATACCTGCTCACTACTGATGTATTTGGGTCCTGGAAGTTTTCTAGAGTTACTGGTCTGCGCTCATCTTTCACCTGCCTGCTGGAGACAAACCTATAGCAGCCTCACTGGTGAACTTCTGGTTCTGAAATGCATCAGATGACTCATGTGGGTAGGACATTCTCAACTTACCCTCTGTTTAAGTACTGTAAAAAGAAGGTTACAGCAAGGCTATAGTTTTTATACCCCTCAACCCCAAAACTAGCTGGGCTCCTCCATATGAACATAAGTTAGTATGATCACAAAAAGGTTAGCTTAAGCAACTAACAAAATCTACTTCTATATATTATATTATTTCGCAAAATAAATGTTGATGGTGTCAATTTACTAGAAATGAAATTTCATAAATGCTCTCATTAAAATAATGTTTAACAAATACATCTTTCATGTGGTTGCATTTTCAATATTTCAATTGTGCTTTAAATATTTTAGAACTGCCTGAGTTTTCCTTCGCCGAGTCTTAGTAAAATTATTTTACCAATATTCATTATTGATAAAGGTGGATAAGATTTTAAAACATGCGTTTGAACTAACACTTAGCCCATTTAAGGGTATTCAGATCTAACATCTTGGTTTACAACCGTCTTTATCATGAAAAGAATCAGAACACGTGAAATGATTAACGAGAAAAGAAAAGATGCCCTGGACTATTAAAAAAAAAGTTCCATGCCAACTGGGGATGCACTTCAGAAATAAAACTGAGATTGAGCAAATGTAGCTTCTGGTGGTCATGTTTAATGTCACCTTTAATTGACATCTAACTGATAGAAAACATAGTGATAGCAGCCTTAGAAATACCTAAGTAAGAGACAGATCAGAGGCATTAACCCAGTTCCCTGTGGACACTAGCAGCAGTATTAAGATTCTCTGGTCTGCCAACATAAGCAAGGGATTTTTTTATCCCTGTTTTGTTTTAGATGTAAAGTACAATTGAAAGACACTTCTCATATATTAGTAATGCCAACTTTTAATAATAGATGAAACGTGCCTCTAGTTTTTAATTTAAATTAGCATGTTGTGATTTTTACCTGAAGAAAAATAAGACAGGACAGGTTGTCTGTCCCCTAAAGTTAGCATTGGTTAGGAAACAAAAGGCCAGAGAAGTGTGTCCAAAGACACTTAATCTTTCCCCAGAAGCTGTACAGATTGTAGTGACACTAACTCAGTTCCCGACAAATATTCATCACTGCATATGCCAAACTAGGAAATTTGTCCATAGACCAATCCTCATGCAATGTAAAATACTGAACACTAGAGCTATGTGAAATTTTGATGGGTGTTTCATTTCAAAGCTGTTTCAATGTATTTAGAGCTCGAAACAGCAAAATCGAAACTAAATAAAAGGATTTGAAATGAAAAGAGGGCACTCAAAATGTTTTGAAAGTTTCAAAATGTTTCTCGTTTCAATGCCAGGCTTTGCTTGCAGCTAAACAGAAACTAAGGAGAGGGAGGGGGCAGAGGGGGAAACAACTGCCCTGATATTGACATCTAGCTCCTGATTCAATTCCTCAGCTCTCTGATCACTTCCCCTATCTCCCCCTGGGGGGCACAGGCCCCCGCTCTGTGTGCAGGGTTTCAGCAGGCTGCTGCTGCAGGCTGGTATCAGCAGCAGCCACTCGGTGCAGCCCACATCAAGCTCCAGAAAGACTGCAGTGCTGCCACTGACCCAGCCTGCAGCAGCAGCCTGCTGAAGCCTGGCGCACAGATCCTGGGGCCAGCACCCCTCAGAAAGAACTGGGGGAATGATCAGAGAGCTGGGGAATTAAACCTGAACATTCCCCCAGTTCCCGGTTCAATTCCCCAGCTCCTTGATCTTTCCCCCAGCTCTTTGATCACTTCCCTCAGTTCTTCTAAGCTAGGAAGAACCCAGTGCTGGCGCTGGCCCCAGCTGGCAGCAACAGTCTGCTGTCAACCCATGCACAGATCTGGGGGCCCATGCCCAGGAGGACTACAGGGCTGTGCCAGACTTCTCCCAGGGAGAGTGGGCCCCCAGATCTGTGTGCAGGATGACAGCAGGCTGCCACTGTCAGCAAGTGATACGAGGTTTGCTTTGAACAGTTTGAAGTGCAGTTTCACAAAAAAAAAACCCTTCACCTATCTCCTTGATACTTGGCAGACTTCATGCCCTCAGAAGGGGCTACCATCTCTGCAATTTTCAACCAGACCAGGCAAGAAATTACAAAGTTACAGGAATTTTCATGATTCTCCATTATAGCCTATGGGCGAAATGTTGAAACAGTGAAACAGTTTCAATGAAATGAAATGGAACAGTGCTTCAAAACAGTGAAATGAAACACTGTTCCTTTGAAATGGAAGTCAAAATGAAATGTTGCTGTTTCGCACAGCCCTACTGAACACCTAACCACTGTACAACGCAATGGGAGCCATACAATCTGGGAAGGACTGCAAACAGACATTGGTACAACAGAAATTGTAGCGTCATTACAAAAAAGGGAATTCACAAATGCATTTTAGCTTTTATTGTCTCTTCAGTTCAGGTGCATCACCGTGAAAGATGTTAGAAGATAAGCCTAACAGGTTTTTATTATTTTCCCCACAAATGTAATGAAGTGAATGCTATGCTTTCCATGTTCTGAGCTGTTTCTGCAACTGAGTTTTAAAATTCATTACATGTATTTAATTTCTTTTACACTATTTTACTTTGAAAGCCCACCAGTTGCAGGGATTGATATTATTGGCACAACAAGAAGGATGCTAGCATATTGCTGAAGCCAAGCTTTCACACATTCAGCAGTTTCTGTAACTATCAAAATTTGTTACACCCATAGAATGGCCAGCTCAAAATTCGAGATGATTATTTATGCAAATATTTGGCTACTTCAATGCTCATTGGCATCTGTAACCAATAGAGTGGACAGTTCAGGGTGATAATTATCTGTAGTGACTATTTTAGTTACCATCACTTTGTCATTATTATGGTTTTTATACAAGTTATCCATCAAATGCAAAATACACACACACACACACACACACACACACACACACACACTAAAGCAGGGGTTCTCAACCTTTTTTACTAAGTGTACTCCCAGCAGTCCCCTTTTTAATAAGTGTACCCCCTGGAGGAGGGGAGTGGCACGCAGCCAGCAAGCGGCCAGTCGGTGAGAGGTTGTGTGGTGAGCAGCTGGATGGCGAGCAGGAGCAGAGAGGGAAGGGGAGGGGAGTGGTGGCAGCACAGTGCTTGTGTGGCCTGCAGAAGGGCGCCATTGCTTTTGCCCCACCCTGGCTCTGCTCCTGTGAGGCAGTGGCACTCCATCCCCTCTTAGCCCTGTGTACCACCTGGGACCTTTCAAAGTACCCCTAGGGGCACGCGCGCCCCTGGTTGACAACCTCTGCACTAAAGAATGCAGTTTCAAACATGCAAATATCCAGAAGCAGTGAAATTAATGTTGTCCAAGTAGCCTCAATTTGGTGCTCACATGCAAGGAGGCTGGAGACAGAGCACTCAAGCAGTAACTATGGGTGTCCTTAGGGCAGTTCCACTGCTTCGTTTCCAGGTTTGGCACATGAAGAGCAGAAGCATGTGTTGGGTCACACTTCTCATTAACCATCGCAGAAGTACCATGGAAGCAGTACAGTACCCAACATATATGGACTGGAGAAGGCTCAATGTAAATGGATTTGAAGAATTTAATTGTCACATTTCAACATACCCCTATGAAGCATGTGTCAATAGAACCTCTCCAAAAAACACAAAAGAACAAAACACCCAACAGCAACAGAAAAGCCCAATGAACTTCACTTATTTGAGCATGGAAAATTTTGGCCTTAATGGTTAAAGTTTGGCACAGCTATGAGCAACTGAAAACAGATTCCTGTATGTAAAGTATATGGCAACCTAACCTCATAGGTAGCATCACTAGGCTCTCTCCCATATATATCTTCCTTTAAAATAACAACATTATTGCATTGTTGCCATCATAACGCTGCTGTTCAGCTATTACGCAACATTTAGCCTCAGCTCTCAGTAAGTACATTCAGTAAGACCTCCGAGAGGGACTTCACCAGAAAGTGAAATGTTGGCGCAGCCCCTTTTGCATCAGTGCTCTGTGGGTTGGTTTAAAGGTGGGAAAAGACCCATGGCCCTTTCCCCTCTGTGGAGTAGTTTCTGTCCTTAAAGATGCACATTACACGTAATCTTTGTACCTGCCGAAGTGCTAGCACCTGGCCCTTATCCAGTGTG